GGCGAGAGGTTCCGACGGGACCTGGTGAAGACCCTGAGGCACCTGGGCTGTGTGAGCCAGGCCCAGTGGGTGTCGTTCACGAGGAGACAGGGCAGTACTCTGAGCCCCTGTCTTCTGGGATTACCCTCCCGGGCCTCGGAGCCTGGAGCCTGGAGCCCAGGCTGGGACGTGCCAGGTTCAGCCAACCAGGGCTTTCCCGACTTCTTCACTGAGGGTTCTTACAGGCCATGGCCAAGGCTGGAAGGGAACCCCTGAAGCAGGAAATTAGGGGCGAAGGGGGCCTGGGGAACAGTCTCTTGTACAGATGAGGGATTTTCCCCAGCATGGCAGAATCGTGGGCCTCTCTGACTACCAGGCCTGAAGAGCCATCGCCTGGACTCCCTGGGGTCTTTCTCTTTGCGGGAGGACCCTCCCTGGCTCACATTCTAGAAATGGAGCCAGGAGTCCGTTCCAAGTGGGGGTCCACACTGCCTCCAAGGGCCTTCCTGCTACTTGCTGCCTGCCAGGGACTCATCCCCTTAGTTCTTGGGGGGAGCTTCCTGATAGCTACTGCCCACTCAGGGTCCCCTGATATCTTGAGAAGCAATCCACAAAGACACCCAGTCCCCTGTTGAGAGAAGGTTGAGAAATCTTAAAACAAAATCAGATTCGGAGAGACCTCCTGGGCTTTATTATGCTAATATGCATCTAAAATCAAGTGACCTGGGCTATCAGGGCCTTTGAGCATTGGGAATCTCGAAGGAGATCTCGCATGCAGAGTCACATCTCTTCAACCAGTGGCATTCCCCCCCAAACACGGCCTCAGCTTCCAGAAAAAACAAACCAACAAACCCACGGCCATGCAGCTTGTGCTGACTCCTAGTGACCCTGTAGAACCGGGCCTTGCGTTCCTGACACTGGAACTCTGCAGGAGTAGGGAGCCCTTGCTTCGCAATGACTGGTGGTTTCAAACTACAGACCTTGAAGTTAGTAGACCAATGCATAATCATGATGCCATCCGAGCTTCTGATCTACTAGGACCGATGACAATGAGCCTGTATGTAGACAGGGAGAGAAGTATCTGGGTGGCATGAACAGTTAGGCGCTCGAATACAAACCGAAAGATTGGAAGTTCAAATTCCCCTCCGGGTGTGTAGAAAGCCAGGCCTGATGAATTGCACACCGGGCATGACCAGGCATCAGAATCGACTTTGTGGTGATTAATAACAGCCCAATATAGACAGAACACAGCCGGCAGGAGGCTCGGAGAACAGCTTACCAGCTCAATAGGATATTTAATATTTAGAGTGACTATTTGGTAGAACTAAGTTTTTAGAACAAAATCAAACCCTATTGTGGATTTGGGGTTCATTGCTGTCCAAATAAACACAGATTCAATTTACAGCTGTTGTGTATGCCAGGGCAGAACAAGGGCAGAGGTGGGATTTGCAAGGGGCTGTCCTTCAGAGGCTGGTGTTGTTGTGGATCAGGCATTTTGGAGCTGTTAGCAGCAACGTCAGTGGTTTCAAGCCACCAGCCGCTCTGCGGGAGAAAGTCAAGGCGCTGTGTTCCCGTAAAGATCCACCGCCTTGGGAGCCCTGCGACTTGAAATAGAGTTGGTGGCAGTGGGTTTGGGTTTGGGTTTTGTTCCCTGGAGCCATGGGAAGGGAGGGGGCTTCATGGCCTGTGGTAGGTTCTGGGAGCCCTGGGGGTTGTGTCCTGGGAGGAGTGGTGGTGGAGAAGCAGATGTGTTTGTGGGTCTGTGGGCGAGGCTTTGGTCAAAGACAGGTGCAGGGTTGAGCATACCTCCATCCCTGCATCAAGATCATCTCTGACTCTTTATCTCCTCCACCCTTAGTGTGTGTGTGTGTGTGTGTGTGTGTGTTTCTGGAAACTGTAAGGGGTGTGTGTGTGTGTGTGTGT